TGTTCGTCGGAATGTTCCACAGTGTGACATTAAACAGCTCTACTTTACTTTTATTCAATTACAGGTGGTTTTAAAGCTCAGAAACATCTAAAAAATCAACCATTCTGACTGCGATTGGGGTCACCTCTTCGCAGATCCCATTTTCAGAAGACACTGAAAGATGGGTCAAATGCAGTGGGGAAATAGAAAGTGCTACACTGTGTTTTTAAACTCCATACACCTTCAATAAAATAAAATAATTTGGAAGATTTCACCTGTGGAATTGGCAATCTCTACTGAACCAAATAAGTTTTTTGTCAAGGTAACAATGGTCTAACATGAGTTAAAGCTCTTAAGAGTTCATTTTTGTGTAATTTAGGACCTTTAAGCCACAGCGAGTACCCTATTTTTCTAACTATAAGTCGCACAATTTTTTCGTGGTTTGGGTGGTCCTGTGATCTATACTCCAGTGCAACTTATATATAACATTTTTCAGACTGACAGCCACAATAGAGCACTCTAGTCTTGTGTATCAGTTTTCTGCACATGTCTCCTATGTCTCCTGCAGAAAAAAACAGTTGTCCTGCTGCTAGTAATGAAATATGCAGCGGAAAACGGTAATGGAGCAGCAGAAAGAAAGTTTGGAGTGAGCAAGAAATTTGTGAGGGACTGGCCAACAGTGGGAATGGAGAACACAGCTTCACGGTAACTGGGAGAGTGCACCATATAACTTACGTGGAAGTCACTGGATGAATCAACAATGCCTGGACTTCAGTGACAACCGATGTTGAGCAGAGTTGCTAAAGTAAAACTGAGGATGAAGAATTCAGTGGATTCAATGGATTTAGTGATTTGGAGTGAGATGGAGAGTTTTGTAAACTTACGTTCTGTTGTTTATGCTCTAGTTATCTGAATAATTGTTAATATGTTACATTAAAATATCAGACGCCTGTTCAGTCTGTTGTTCTCCATTCTATTGTTATTACTAGAATTTATCTTTTCAAGATGAAATGTCAGTTCCTGGTCTCTGATTTTATAAAATAAATTTCCCTCAAAAAGTTTTTTTTTTTTTCTTCTTCTTCATTATGCATTTTTTGGCTGGTGCAACTTATACTCCAAAAAATACAGTACAAAGAAGCACACAGCAGGAATGGATAAAAGTGAACACAGTGTAGGCGTGATTCAGCAGCCGTGAAATACCGTGAGTTTCCCTTTCACCTCGGCACGATGGAAGCAGCTGTGGACGAGAGAGGACGAGCCGGACGGACGTTAGTGGAGTCTGTGATTATTCAGAGAGATACCTGGTGTACTCGGAGTACACACACACACACACACACACACACACACACACACACTGCGAGCTGTAGCATGCCGCCGAATCTGTGCCATCGCTTTTCCCGGGTCACTTCACGGAGCACGGAGAGGAGAGAGAGAGATCACATGTAAACAAAAAAAAAAAAAAAAAAAAGAACGAAAAATGATGTGTTTTTGTCCTATCCAGGCTTATTTTGACGAAGTCTTTGGGCAGGTCCAGTTCTAGTCCAAGTCTGGCCCTGGTTTAGTTCTAGGTTTAGTTCTGATTTATTAGTTTAAACACTAGGGATGTAACCGAAATATTGTGATATCGTATCATCAAAAGTCTCACAGTAATATCGTGGGGTGTCACAAAATTACAAATTCCTTTACTTAAATGCAGGTTTTATAGTCACAAGAGCTTAAAAACATTGGAAACTACATATCCCATGATTCATTTCAGCGCAGAAAACATGAAGAAATATGTTTTTACTTGAATTCTTGAGCTTATAACGGAAATAATTCACACTTATTTAGAATTTATTATTACCATTTATATTTTCGCTCTTTGTTATTATATTATATTGTGATGTGTGAGCTTCTGTGTACAAATAATTTCCCTTGTGAATCAATTAAAATTTGTCTAAATCTACAAAATGATCAGGTTCAATACTGTGTGAATTTACATTTTTATATATTTCATGGTGAAGTACGATGTCCATCAAGAGGAAAATGGATCTTGGAGTATGGATGGAGTATGACATCATCACATTCATCACATTCTAGAATCTGAAAACCACCCATAGATAAATAATCAATAGGCCCGTGAAAATATAAAATGTCTGAAAGCTAAAATTTGAAGTTCCAATGTGGAGCTTTTTAACCAGAAAATTATGTCCATTGTCAACATCACTTTAGATGACTTTCAAAATAATATGTTTTAATACAAAATTCAACTCAACTGTGCACAAATATGCATCCTATAAATTACACATTGTTTTAGAATGAGACGCGTTGTGCCTGATTTAATAATAATACACATTTATTACCTAAAATATATATATGTAAAAAAGATATAAGCAGTTTAATGTTGTAATCCAAAGGCGTCCAGCAGTGTGACATGAAAAAATCAGACAAAACACAAAAACTAAAAGGAGCTCTTCTGTCATTTATGCACTGGGATTAAGGGTTTAAGATATAGAACAAATGAAATAATAATAATTTTCATATTTTTTGGTGAAATACAACTTGTCTGAAAAAGTTTGAACAAGCGTCTGCTTTTAATGTCCTGCGGTGTGACAGCTCTATTTCCTAAGCAAAATACATTTCTACTTGCTAAAAAGATATTCTTAAAGATGGGGCACTTACATCATTATAAAGCTGATACTATTAATATGTTAAGTCATTTGTTTGATTTTTTGATTTTTATTTTTTTAAACATGGGAAATTTATAGAGAATGTCCAGCGGGGTAACAGGAAGAGTCACACCACAGGGCATGTTCAAATGTCTGAAATTAAAAGACGTAAATAAAAAAATGATGTGATGTTTGTGAAAAGGATTCCTTTAAATTTTGGCATGTCACACCACAGGACAAAAAAGGTGTCACACCCAAAACATCTAGTCCCCATTCACCAAAATTAAAGTATGTTTTTTAATATTTAATTGCACTGAAACACAAGTGATCACACCAGCTCCATAAAGTAACGTTAAGACTGTGTAACCAAAAGACACTGAAAATAACAAGACAGCAATCACAATAATAAACGTAATATCAGATCTAAAATGTAGGCTTTAACATTGATGCACAGTATAATGTTGCCAAAAACATAAAAATAGTAATCTAAAAATCCAAAATAGTAGTGGTGGCTAATATTAACAAATATGTTTTACATTCGCTACCGCTATTTTAGAATGGAAATTTAATAAAACAAGCTTGCATGTATTTACTTGTGATTACTTTATCCCATTATGACCTTTTATTAAGCTATTTCTAAGCCTTTGGAATAAAAATAAATAAATAAATAAAAATTGAGTGTGGAATTTGATAAATATAATAGACTGATGTATTATTTTATTGTGCAAACCACTTTTATCACAGGCCTGTCTTTGAAAAGGGACAGAAGAGCATCTTTGGCTTTCCTTTGTCTCCCTCTAGTGGTATATTTGTGTAACTACATGTTGCTGTCAGAAAACTCAATCCAGAGTATTTTACAGGATTAGTGCGCATGCTTTTAACACTTTTATATCTTTAAACTGCAAATGTTTCACTGTGTCATGCTATGATTCACTATTTTATGCGATTCACTGTTTCATATGGTTCACTGATGCCATGTTATGATTCGCTGTTTCATAAGAATTACTGTTTCATACAATTCATTGTCTCTTGTTATGATTCACTGTGTCATGTTGTTTTCACTGTGTTATGTTATAAGTCACTGTCATGTAACAATTCACTGTTCATGTGACAATTCACTGTTTCATGTTATGATTCACTGTTTCATGTTATGATTCACTTACAATTCACTGTGTTATGTTACAATTCACTGTTTGATATGGTTCACTATTTCATAAAATTTACTGTTTCATATGAGTCACTGTCTCATGTTACGATTCACTGTTTCATGTTACGATTTACCTTGATTCACTGTTTCGTATGATTTACTGTTTCATAAATTCACTGTCTCTTGTCATGATTCACTGTGTCATGTTGTGATTCGCTGTCTTATGTTAGCTAGTCTATTCTGCTCATGCTGTTTTATGCTGTGTCTTGGCTGTTCTCAACTGATTTATCTGGTAAAATATTGAATAATGAAATAAAACAAAGATAATAGGGTAAAGTATGTCTCAATAATAATAATTTAAAAAAAAAAGTGTTGTGACTTCAATATAGAAAAAAAGAAAGAAAGCGTTTATTTATTTATTATTTATTTATTTACTTTTTTTAATTATTATTTTTTCTTTCAAATTGTACAAAGGTTAAACATTCAGAACTTTGATGATATTTTGCCAGTATTAGAACCATTTAATTAGTGGTTTTCAGATTCTATCAGTTTTCCCTATTGATAACATTGTACTTTCCAAAAGGTAAATGCACAAATGCTTGAAAATTATAATTTCTATCAACGACAAGACCCAAAAACTTACTGTGTTAGAACATGATTCTGCATTTGAATCACAGACTGTATAAGATTTGAATATACATATTAGCTGCCCCCATTTGTATTAAATATAGAATAATGTGATTTAATCTGAAACCCAGCAAGATTTTATTATTATTTATTTTTTTTTAAACAAACACCATAATAGGTCTATATATTTTGTGATAAAATACAATGGTAGTATATTATAGGCTTTCTTCCAAAACAGATATGTAAATCCAAAATATGTAAAAAAAAAAAAAAAAAAAAAAAAAAAAAAAAAAAAGTTAAGAGTATTAAAAATAAGTATTAAGAATGTAAGAGCAGTCCCAGAAACACTGGCTTTCATTTGTCTCCCTCTTGTGGTATATTTGCGTAACTACGTGTGGTTCTCTGATAAAACAGATCATATAGAGATAACTTTCTATCTCTTCTTTTTTATATACTTTTAATTTATTTTACATTTAAAAATAATATTGTGACTCTGTGATGTATAAAATACATTTTAAGCAAACGCTATATTTTTAAAAAAAATGTATATTTGTATTCTGTTTACGTCCGCACGCGCCTGTCGCCTCGGACCAAAACAGGAAGTGTGTGCCGCTAACGTTAGCCTTTAGCTCCCCGCCGGGACAGAGCTGTTACATTCCGGTCACAATGATTTGATCTAAGTTTACATCGTGAAACACCGACCGATACCTCACGCACAGCATCGACAGTGAGTAGATCTTCACCGATTATAATCTGCGGGTTGTTAAAATAAATGTTATGTTGATCTACATAGAAGACAAGAGTTAACCAGGACTCAAATCTTGTATGCATGACAGATTAGACAAGTCATTTCACCAAAACCTAGTAAAGCATGATTGTATTTAAGATCTTGAGTAAAGGTTATTTCTGAGTCTTACGTAGTTTGATCATTTTGGTGAAGATTGGTCATTTTACTTCCTGGTTGAACAGTGACAACCTGTTCCATAGCTCTAACATTAAACTAAAGAAAAAGTACAAAGTACTATGTGTCTGAGTTGTCAAAAGTACATACACGAATCAATACTAAAACTAGTAATGAAATGACAATCTCATTTTGCATTTGCTCATTTGCAGTGAATTCTCAAAAAAGTTCACAGGACAGAAATGAAGCTTTCCTGAGTAGTTTTAGAATGATGTTGAGCTGGATCAACAAGTACAAGAGCACATAGATTAGTAAACACCCATGGACCACTATGAACCTACTGCACCACTGAGGGATTACAGATATAAGATGAAAAATATAAAAGAAAATACTATGATTTAATGATGAAAATCACATTCTATTGTCTAATTAGGAGTGTTTTTGTATTATCGTTGTGGTATCTGTATTGAGTATCAAGTTTATTCCTTTGTATCAAAATCAAATTTGAAATATGATAGAGAAGTACGAGTAAACTGCATCTACATAAGTGATAAGGCAGATTAAACTGTCCAGTCACTCCCTTTCTGCTATTGACATAAATCCATATATTCCAGATTTAAGTATTACATTGTCAAAAATTAACATTTGCTTGTATAAATCTTGTTTAAGTTACACAATAGATTGTTTTTATATTTCTGACCTTTGTTATATCAAGTGTTTGAACTGAAAATTGTATACCGTGTAGTGTTGTCACTCACGATACAAACATTTTATTCTAAATATTTAACCTCAAAGTACTAGTAGACTACTACAGTACCAGTGTTTTGTAATTTGTATCTCTTTCTCTCCATAGCTTTTCTGCTTAGCCTGTGCCTCTGAACATGTGCACATGGAGGACAAGAAAGTGAAGCGCAGGAGTCCCAGGACGTCCTCCAGTGGAGCAGGGCCTCCCTCAGGGTCTGCCCGAAAGAGCAGCTCCTCCTCTGGGGGCAGACATGTGCCCAACAACATGGGCACCAACTCCAGCCAGAAGAGCAAAGGCAGGAGGTGAGGAGCTCACAACATTTACAGATCATACAAATGGAACAAGTTTAACCATCTTTATGTTGTGGTGTATTGTAGAGGGGTCAAAGACAAACCCAGGTACCCGCCAGGTTCCAAGACTCCTGCCCAGGGCCAGGCCACGCCCATCGTCCAGCACTCTTTCCTGACAGATGTGTCCGATGTGCAGGAGATGGAGAAGGGCCTGCTCAGCCTCCTCAACGACTTCCACTCAGGCAAACTGCAGGCTTTTGGTAAGAAAGAGTCTAATAGAACACCAGTCTTTTCAGCTATTCAATACATAGGTACATTCACGTGACATCACAACTGCCCATAATTAAACACTGAGCTGATGTAGGGTAGAATTTGCATTCTAGATGCAAATATTTGGTCCTGGTTTATAGTTAATATCTCTGTAACTGTTGGGCCTATCAACACAAAACAAAACAACTTCAAACATTCTCTTTTCCATTGCAAATGAAATAAACTCAAAGATTTCTTTCATAGTATTAAAAATGGTGGCCTATTTCAGACACACAATCACATTCCTGTGATATTTGTAAGTTCACAACCTCTAAAGCCTATTTCAGCAGAAACACAGACTATTGTTTTTTGGAAGCACTTTGTGCATTTGTGGAGAGAAAGATGTCTTTGCTTTTCTCCCAACTGGATTTAATAGACTTTTGTTTCTGCAACCAATCAGATTGAAGTGTCAAGTATTGCCTGATCACTTTCAGTGAGAGCTGTCCCAGATTAATCACGAGTAATTCTAATAAAAGGAGGTACATCTCAATCTGGCCTCTGGCAGGTTAACAAGTACTGTCAGTTGAAAGCACTTTAAGCCACTTTAAACCACAAAAATAAAATAAGGTAAATTTGTTGACCAGATCTTTGACAAAAGAAATTTTTCTTCCAGTAAATCTCCCATTGACACACAGGCTGCTGCCCTTCATCTGATATCATCTTTCTAGACTTATACCTATACTCCGACCTCTGCTTAATATCTAAACTAAATGTATGCACCTTTATTATCTGCTTGTGCTTCAGGTAACGAGTGCTCCATAGATCAGATGGAGCACGTGAGGGAGATGCAGGAGAAGCTGGCCCGCCTGCACTTTGACCTGAACGGGGAGGTGGACGAGATGCCCGAGGACCAGAGGAAAATGGCATCTGACACCAACATGGACAAACTACTGTCCAACGTAAGCACCTCAGGGTTATGTAAGGACACAGTACAGCTGCTTATGAATGCAGCCTACTGTGGGTTGTTAGTGTTTAATCTGGATTTAGCATTAGGCTTAAAGGAGAGGCAAAATAGACTTTTCAGGGCTTTCAGCCATGTTCTAGTAGTTTTTCCCTCTCACTTATTCTCTCAAAGTTGTATTTAGAGTAGGGTTATCCAAACTACAAACAAACAAAATCAGATACTAATTGATACTTAAAGTAGTATCAAAATTAGATACTCATTAGAGCGGGTATCAATACTGAAAAAGTCACATTCACAGGATAGAAATTAACCTTTTTTTGAATATCTTTAGAATGATCTAAAGCTGTTTCAGAAAAGTATAAGACTAGTATATGCCCATGGAACACTATGGAACCTATCTGGACCATTGAGGGATTACACAGACGTCAGACCACATGTGAATATAAGAGAAAGTACTACCATTTAATGTTGAAAATCACATTCTATTGTTCTAAGAAAGAGTGTTTTTTTATTTATCATAAACTTAAAGAGTAACTCTTGGGACATAGAATTAAAAGTATAATTTAAAGTTCATTTAAATGGAAGGACAAAACATTAAACAATGGTTTTTCCAAAGGATAGAGTCAAAAATGGGACAAACTAAAGGAAGTGGTGCAATAAACACAAATGTTTAAATCATTTCATATTGTCAGCATAAAGCTTTTGTCACTTGTAGATTTACTCACAGTGAGAAGAGGAACCAAAGGTTTTACAAAGAGTACTCTAAGTTCAATAAAAATAGTGAAGTAGAGTAAAAGTATGCTACTAGAAAGTGAAAGTAATAATAATGCTATTCATAATAATAATGATACATAACAGTTGCCTAACGCTTTTCTCAAAGATACTGTTCACAGCTCAAAACTCACAAAACACAAACGAAGAACCTGATAAAAATGAATTGCAGTTATTTTGAAGGCCGTTTTGAACAGATGAGTTTTCAGGCTTTTTTGAAGATGGAGAGTGTGGATGAGTGATGAGTACTCACTTCGCTTCATGATTTTATTCTCTTAATCAGTGATATGCATAGGCTTTGGCAGCTCCATGTAGTTATTTTGATACATATAAGAATTTAAAAAAATCAGTAACTCGCTTTTGTGATGTGCAGCTATCCATAGGAGGGGCTGACAGCTGCATGGCTCTTTGTTGTGTTGATGTTTACGGCGGCATACTTTAAAGGAGCAGGTGTCGTTTTCAACCAGAAATCAGCAGAACTTTTTTTTTTTTTTAAGTTGTAATGCGATTTAAAATTCTAACATAATGATCTTCAAGTGTTACAGACTATAACTATACAACAGACACAAGCCCCAAATGTTTTCTTTAAAGGTGCACAGGGTCTGTCAGCTGTTTGTTTCTATGGATATGTCATTGCTCTGCCTGGAATGTTCCACAGTATGGCATTAAACAGCTCTTCCTTACACTTATTCAAATGGTTTTAAAGCTAAAAAATACCTAGAGAAACAGGCATTCTGACTATAAGCGGGGTCGTCTCTCCACAGATCTGACCTGTAACTTAGTCTGGTTTGGTCCTCATGAAGACAGAAAGGTTTAATGCCATCCTGTGGAACATTTCACACAATGCAATAACATCTCCATGAAGAAAAGCATGGAGATGAACTTAGACAAACATTCATATCTAACGTCTTTATTTTTCTGTCTTTTTTCTTTCAGTTGGAGGAGCTGAGTTCTTCGATGTATCCTTTAACATTGAACCCATCATATCTGGACATAATGGATGTGATGTTAACTGAGGCACTGTTCTGTCTGAAGCTCTGTTACTCAATTTAGACTTTAAAGTGAGCTTTGTTTAAACACAGCCCCATGAACATTCGTATTGACCACAGGCTCATGGAAACACGTCGGTTAAATCCATTTTGTTTTTGTTAGTTTGCAGACAATCTTAAAAGTTTTTTTGGTAGTGTGCGCATTGGGTCACCATGGTAACTGCTGAACATTCCACCATAGACACCGATTCAGAACACACTCCAAACTTCACAAACCTTGAATCTTCTCATTATTTGTTTGGGATCGGCTTCACAAACTTGTCATGTTGGCTGTAAGTCCTTTCAGCTGACCACAGTCACGTCTTTGGGGTTGAATAATGGCATCACTTTTTGACGATATTGTTAGAAAATCATTTCACATTTGTTTATTTATACTGACACTGAAGACATTAGGGATGGGCATGATTAGTCAATTAATCTATAATTGATCATTACGAATTTCGTCGATTACGTTCATTTTTAATTGACAAACCGAATATAGGTTGCTGTGAGTAGCATAGGGTGACCAAATGTCCATTTTTCCTTGAACATGTCTGTTTTTCACATAACTGTCCTGGCCGTCTGGGTTTTTTTTTTTTTCTTTTTTTATAAAGTGATGCAAATGTCCGAGTTTTCATGATCTTTCATTGGGCCATTAAATTGAGCGTCTCTTGTAGCTCTCTGTGCACTCAGAAGCGAGCAGACACAAACAGTCGGTCAGTCTGCAACATACCGAAACGCAAATGCACATTTAACGATGACTTGTACAAGAAATTCCCCGCTTTCCATCCTGGTCGAGACAAGAGTGAGGCCATGTGCACAGTGTACAAAGCAGCACATATGTTTCGGTGTCCAGTGGGGGTGTCAGGGACCTCAGAGTTCACCAGGACACTGAAAAACATTAAAAAGCTTTGCCAGGTGCGAGTCGCTCAATGTCTATGACGAGGTCCCACCTCCCTCCCCCCGTATAGTGTCCTAGTTTTGACAAACGCAAATATGGTCACACTAACTTATATTCCACTGAGTTGTGTCATTTATGCCGACAAAAGTTAAACCGCATCAGTGCACAAGAGCTGTTTTTTTCTTCGCTTAGTTTATGCAAATTAGCCATGCAGTTTTAAGTTTCATTTCTGTGAGAGTTGCGGAAAGCAGCATTAAAAACACATTATAATGTCAAACGGGCTGATGTGGCTCTAGAGTGGCTACGGTTTATATGTCGTAAAGTTGAATTTATTTATGCAGATTAGTCGTGCAGGTAGTAAAAATAATTATGATAATTTTAATATAAAAACATTAATGATTAATCGATAATCGATCATTAATTCTCCCGACAATCGATTAAGAAAATTTAATCGAATGCCCATCCCTAGAAGACACTGAAGCAGTTTTTGTTTCATATGGATATTATACAGGTCAACAGTCCTTCAATCTCAGTTAAAGTGGAAAGAAAAACTAAATCCACTTTTTTACGCTACTAAACTGTGTATGTGGCCGTTTAAGAGCATTATCTACTCGTCTTAGTCATTTCTTTTGGGTAATTAAGTGCAAATAAAAAAAAAAAAATTGCAGCTTTCTGGTTAAAAAAACAGCTAAATCTACGTGTGTCCTGTCTCCAGTGCGGACTGCAATCCCAAGTAGTTGGTGACATCACGTAAGACTGCCCTGATTACAGCCAGGCGTTTCTGATTCTTCCCTTTTCACTCTCCACTTTAGTCCTTTTGAAATTTAACACGTTTTATTCGCTAAAATGTAAATTCCACCTCAGAATTCTTACCTGGCCTTCCCAAATTTAAATCATGGGCATTTTAGATTATTGTGACGTTGCGTGAGCCTATTGTATATTGTCAGTGTGTTTTTTTTTGCTTAACCTAATGATCCAGCCAGAAATTAAATCTTGCCGATAGTCAGGAGATCCCAAGAACAGCCAGCGTTTAGGACCAACCCAGCCCCATGGAAGAGGAGGACGGTTTGGAAGGTCTTCTGCCACTTCTGGAAATGAAAACAACAGTATTTCACCAGCGTGTTCTTTAAATCGAGCGTTATTAATTGAATGTGCTGACGTTGTTGTTTTTAATCTAGCTGCTACAAGGAAAATGATCAGTTATATTTTTTTAACAGAGAATGTACAAGTGAGTTTCAGCCGTCAAATCAAATTTTCTTCCGTCAGGAGTGGGCAGCGGGGTTGTGCGGTAATGATGTCACTTCCGGGTCTGAGCATGGAGTTATACGTGTTTCAATGCTCTTTACTCGCGTCCTTCTCCTCGATCCCTTTCCTCGAGCCTCTGTTTTTTGCTGTCAGTAAAATTTGTCATATTAAAAGTTGTCCAAAAGAAAACCCAAAAGGAAGGAGTAAAGATGAGGGAGGCTTCAGGAGACAGACGTCAGATAAATGAATCAAACTGTACTGGTCTCAGTGAGGAGTTTAGATCCTCTCTCCTCTCTGTGTCTCCTCTGTGCGCAAGACTTCCTCACCCATTTCCTGCAGAATCAAGGAGAAGGAGGCGAGGAAAGAGAAATGAGACGCGGCCATAGATCTGGATGATCTAGAAGAACCAAAGATGGCGTTGTGTTGTTTTCACTGGCCTGTGCTCACTGACGTAAAATGCAAAAATTCTTCCACATTACTTCAATACTTCCTCAATATTTCCTCAGTACTTCCTCAATATGGGCCAGCGCTGTCCACTGTGTGAAGACAGAAACGTCCACCGTTTGATTAGTTCTGACGAATCAGAGTGTGATCTGCTAGAGCGGAGCTAGAGTGGGCTCAGTGCGGGGCCAGGCTGAGTCTTAAAAAGATCACTTTAATGCACTTTGACGATTCCAAAATTCTCAAAAAGTTTATGTTTTGAAAATGCAGAAGAATCCTACAGAATCTGACCTTTGTGAAAGTTACAGATGCCCTGTCAACAGAACACAGGCAGTTTGATTTGAGATGTAAATAATGGCAAAATAATCTGTCTTAACCTGTGAATCTGACGAACTACTGGTAACGCTAACAGCTAATGCTGGCTTAAGCCCCATTCACACGAGATAAGTACAACCTGGGGATGTGTGATCATTTGTAAATTACCACCCCACGTCTGTGTTACTTGCAGCGCATTCGCACGGGATAAGCGAAGTCCGTAAATTACTCTGTACTCTTACTGATATTATGACCAGATATGTCATAACATCAGCTATAAAAATAGGAAGGGCAGTTAGTATAAAGGCGACTGGACCAGGACTAGACCAGGACTAAACCAGGTCTAAACCAGGACTGGATCAAGACTGGTATAGAACTGAATCGAGACTAAACCAGGACTTAACCAGTGTCGATCTAGCAGGCCGAGTTGTGCGGATTTCTCCCTCCCCTGGTTCTCAGTGTCGATCTCGCAGGCACTAGATCGCCCCCCGATATGGAGGATATAACCTAAGTTATTTGCTAATTATATTATTTAAAATGTTCCTTAGCGCTTGCTGCTCCACATGTCATCATCCTGCGAGAATTGTCTCTCTTCTCGGACCTCTTCCCGTTTCTGCAGATCGGTTTACATACAGTGCGATACGGGGCCATATTAGAATTTGCCCCTAAAAACTGTCAAAACTGCTAATCAAAATTTCTACTGCAGCCTCCATATTCAAGTCGGAAAGATAGAAAAGGCACAATTACCACAACAAACACTGAGATGCAGATTCACACGGGACGAGTATTATCACTGGACGTCTGTGTTTGGAGAAATATAGTCGGTCATCTGCGGCGGAATTGTTACTTTACAAATTACAAACATGGCGCATTCACACAGGATTAAGATCTCAGGAATCCTCCGCAATTATTACAATTCACCAAAGGTCCACAGGTTATACTAATCCTGTGCGAATAGGGCTTTACCCTAGCCTAGCTTCTTACCTCAACCTCGTAAACTCTTCTACACTTCTGTCACACCTATAACCTTGTTTAGGGAGACCAGACGTCCCTATTTACTCAGGACAGTTCTGGTTTTGAGCCTGTGTCCTCTGTCCCAGCAGATTTATCAAAAAGACAGTGATTAGTCCCAGTTTTATACAAGAAATGTCACTGGTGTCCCTATTTTTGACCAATTTGATCCCTGCCAAACAGTAAAGTGAGACATAAACAGTCATTTGTTTAGGTAAAATACAGAAAAGCTGCTTAAAAACGACCAAAACACAAAGAAAATGTGACTATACTGACTCACATCTCAGTCATGAATGGGCCGAATGCAGAACAATTTTCGTTTCATTATTTTATTATTGCAAACAATCACAACCCGGGGGTGTCCCAGTTTTTTTATTTTGAAAATCTAGTCACCCTAACATTGTTGGCGTTAAACAACTGCCGTCTCTTTAGTGTGATGTGTGTTGTCGCTACAAAAAGAGTAAACTGTGAACATGTTCGTTGTTTTAATCAGCTGATGCTCCTCAGACCCTGAAGTGACGTCACACGTATCAACCCTGTGGGACAAGTGTTTTGGATTGTCCCTGTGACAATATATAAAATGAAATTAACAATCCATCAGAAACCTGTTAATGTTATGATTAAAGCTGCATTATGTAACTTTTCAGGTTGGGGGTCCTGCACCTGTTCATCTCCATGCAGATGTCGTTGCTTTGTCTGGAATGTTCCGCAGTGTGGAATTGGCCACATCTTCTCTTCAATAACAGAAACTCTCACTGTAAAACAACTTGCCACTCCACAGATCTGATCACCGGGATAGAAAAAGTTTAATGCCAAATTGTGGAACATTCCAGGCAAAGCGATAACATCACCATGGAGACAAGCAGGTGGCAGAAAAGTTACATAGTAGAGCTTTTGGAAAATAAGAATGGGCAGTAAAATGAACCACAAAAGTCCAGAATATCACTCTTGTTCTTAATCTGAACATATGAATTCATAGTTATCATTTTTTAGCAGCTTTTGGACGAGGTGTAACCCTTTTGACCGTTTTCTTACTGTAGAGTAGATGATATTTAATACTGTTATTTTGCACATCTTTAAAACAATAATTTAAATTTTGTCTTGGCAATATATTAAACACGTCTGTTAGAGATGCACCAATTCTTTACTGTCATTGGACATCAAAAAAATGCTGAATTAAACAATCAATGTGACTTTATTTGTCGCCAAGGGGCAGTTTAAGCAATTTAAAGGGCACATTGAGCAGTAAAATACAATAATAATAGAACTCTCAAATAAAAGTCAGGGTCATCAGATCCAGTGTCAGGGCAGTTTGAGGAGAGAAGCAGCCCTCAGGACAAAAGTGTCTCTGAACACACAACAGGAAAAACTCTTCTAATCCTCTCTCTCACTCCACTCTGTTGTTTCTGTTGGTGATGAGACAGGACGATCCCTCGATGTGTTTCCTCTGAAACGTCTTCTGAACATTGGCGTAAAGTCTCCAAGCAGGGTCGCCATGGATACAGGAAAAACAAACTGCTCAAATCACACAATAGGCTCTGTTCACGCTTACGTCACAAACCAGGAAGACGTTTGGAAAGATGCGATTACAACTTCCCAGGCCCAGTTTTCTTCATCTCCATGTCATTGTAGAGTTTTATTATGTTCAACTAATCAACAATTCCAACCACACATCAGTTTTCATCATCTCCACACTGACACATGACTCCGAGTGCACTGGGTACATGTGATTAAAAGAGACGAGGCACCAAATCTAAGATGATTCCAAACAGCACAGACGTCTGCAGTCTTCATTTTACCTCTGATCACATTTACTTCACTGAGTTTGATCACATTCAGTTTTAATAGATCCATGTATGAAGTTGTAATCACATCCTTCCCAAATGTCATCCTGGTTTGCAGTGTTGGGGAGTAACAGATTACATGTACCAGAGTTACATAATCAGAGTACAAATTATGAGTAACTGTATTCAGTTACAGTTACTGTTTCAGTGAGTGGTAATTGGATTACAGTTACTTTGTTGAAATAAATGGATTACAGGGCATTATTTTCCAGTTTTCACATTTTGGGCTAAACCAGGACTAAAACCAGGACTAAACCAGGACTAAACTAGAACTAAAACCAGGACTAAACTAGAACTAAAACACGACTAAACCAGGTCTAAACAATATGACACTAACAGTAGGGGGACATAATTGAAGGCAGCAGTGATCTCATATAAAAATAATCATCAATAATATTTTTAATATGCTTAAGGAAAAACTGGTCTTTTTATTGTCTTTAAGCAGATAAAACAAAACATCTTATGTTAAGATTTCCTCGTCTTTGCTTCTCTACAGTAAACAAAAGTCTGTTCATGGAGACTTGGGCTCAACAGCCAATTTGAAGAAAACAAACAAGAATTTTCAGGATGTGGTTGTTACATTCATGTAGTTTTAAAAAAAATATTCAGATTATGTTACTCACTTTAAGTAATTTAATGGATTACGTTACAAACTACATTTTGGGGTATGTAATCTGTATCAATCAATCAATCAAACTTTATTTGTATAACACTTTTCATACATTTGAAATGTAGCACAAAGTGCTTCACATGCAACAGAAAAAATTACAATACAATAATTAAAAACAACAGCAACCCCCCACCCCACCCCATTGTTTCATCCATATATACAACAATTTAAACATAAACATAAAAACAAAAACATAAAATCTGTAATCTGTAGGGAAATACATTTTAAAAGTCACCTTCCCAACACTGCTGGTTTGTGACGTAAGCGTGAACAGAGCCTTTCCAATCGTCCTTAACTTCTGTCCTTTGAGCTGCACAAGCTGCACTTCCACGTTGGTCAAAATCCCCAAATATTAAGTTCAAAATGCACAATAAAAAATGTTTAAAAGTGTGCCAGCCATTAAGCCACAAGAGCAGAATATACATATGCAGAAAACACATTTTGACTAACTGTATTCTGGTAGTTACAGTTTCATTTGTCGATATTCAGAATGGAGTTACTTTCCTAAAATTAAAATTATATGATCGCACAGTTTTGGGTTCAAACTGCACCGTTTTAATGAGAAAAATCGAGAAGTGAAAAAGCTGGATCGGTGCATCTCTAACCTCTGTCTTCCACTTTGTCAGAATTCTGTGTCGGGGCAACTCATTTCTTTATCCTTGTAGCCACTTGTTATCGATTTGATTTGCAATAAGTGACGGTAACCAAAGTTAAAGAAGCACTACGCATCTTCACCGTTAGAGGGTCCAACATATGCTGCTTGTCTCCATGGAGCTTCGCCTCAAATGTTCCACAGTGTGGCATTACAACATGATCTTTCAGTTTTTAAATGCTCAAAATAAACTTAGTCTTGTGTCGTCATCGGAACATTCCAGGCAAAGCAAAAAACTCTCCATACAGAACAGGAGGTTACGGACCCTCAAACAGAAAAGTTACAGAGTGCGTCTTTAAGAATGCAAAAAGAAAGTATTCTGAAATGGTAATAATCAACGTAAGTGCAATCATTGTAATATTAAAGAGACATATGCAGATAATATATTTTTCATAACATAGCTTTAACCGTCTTTACACTGTTTGGAATGTAAACCATATTTTTGCACATGTCCCGAGTGTGACGCTGGAAACAGAAAATACGCCTTAATTTCAACTTTTTTTTTTTTTTTTGCCTTTTCACAACTCACCTTTTTTAAGTGACTTTTACTTCTACTACTTCATAATATTGAGTTGTTTGATCGTCTGCTTTTGGTTGAATGTGTTGAGTGACGTTTTAAATGCATTTGACATTTGAATAAATCTTGAACTCATTATTTTCTAGTCTTTTCTGCCTTTTTTTTTCTTAAATTTTGACTTAATTTCAACAAAAGAAAATGCTAGAAAATCTGCTTGAACTTAATAAACCAGAGTAAATTATGGTGTAAAAATACAAAGCTACAAAACTTCCACACTGCATCACATTAGTCATTAGTCAACTAAGACATGTCATCCAAAAAATAGCACTACTGCTAAATATTTGGCTGCTCATATTTCTATTTGGCCACTACTCGTGACACGAGGCCACACTACTACTACAAGACTACTACATGCTGCTTCTTCCAGGCAAGTATTAATACTATGTGGCTTCTTGGTGTACTGCAGTGCTTCTCAAATAGTGGGGCCCCCCAGGGGGGTGCGAGGCTCCGTCAAGGGGGGCGCGTTTGACCTCGGGGAACATGCTTTTTTATTTTTTTAGTTTGATTTTTTTTTACTGTCCTAGAATAAAGTGCAATTGCACTTCCACTACATTAGGGGGCAGTGGCGCTCTCATTGGCAGAGTGTGCGCAGGGAGCATTCGCTCGGTGGTGTAGGAGTTTTGTTTGCACTGAGCATGCGCGCTTTGCACACAGCACAGAGTTTGAGTATGAAGTGTAGACACGAAGTGTAGCAGACCCTCAAGTGACACCATGAAAAAACAGGGATGAGAAGACAGACGGAGAGAGACGGAGATAAAGAGACAAACGAAAATCTCCCGAAAGCTAAGACGAGGAAATATGACGAAGCGTATGTAGCGCTTGGCTTCACTGTGACTACGGTGGGAGACGAGGAAAGACCGGTGTGTTACTGTGTCTAAAAATGTTGGCAGCCGACAGCATGAAGCCCAATAAATTAAGGCGTCACTTAAATACATTACACCCCGATCACTCTGATAAGCCGCTTGAGTTTTTTCAGCGAAAACGTGCCGAATATTGCCGACAATCATCCCGCTTTGTGACTGCTACTTCAGTAAACCAGCGAGCGTTGTTGGCATCATATAAGGTGGCAGTGTTACGCACAGGTGTACTTATAACAATTTTATAGACAAATGATACTATCTATAGTCACGCGGGGGGGCGCGAGATGTTTTATTCTTCCTAGGGGGGGCATGACAGAAAATAATTGAGAAGCACTGGTGTACTGCAACTACTACTACTACTACTACTACTACTACTACTACTACTACTACTACTACTACCACTACTACTACTACTACTACTACCATTACCATAGGTGGGACCAAGTCATTGTTTTGCGAGTCTCAACTAAGTCTCACATCTTTGACCTCAAGTCTGAGTCAAGTCCCAAGTCAAACACAGGCAAATCCAAGTCGAGTCTCGAGTCACTGGCCCATAAGTCTTTAAACTAAAGTACCAAATATAGCTTTGGTTTTTGCAAATTATATGACTTTTAAGCTCAGTTTTTCCCTTTATTTTGGGCAAGATCTTCGTGTGAATCATTACGGTCAAAATAGAAAGAATGTTCTCTGTACTTCCCTCTGTTTTACTGTATTGTACTGTATATTACTGTATTGTACTGTATATTACTGTATTGTACTGTATATTACTGTATTGTACTGTATATTACTGTAGTACATTTGAGGATACCACATCACAGTACTTCAGTTACATCCAAAGTACCAAACAGAAGTGGGAGGGACATGTTCCAGTTTGTTCTTGTAAAATTCAGCACCACATTTATCAACTATAAAGAGAAAAGTATTTTCTAAAAACATATATTTTTAGGAGAAGCATCGAGTTTTCTCAAGTCACAGACCTCAAGTCCAAATCAAGTCCTAAGTCAATGAACTTCAAGTCCAATTTGAGTCCCAAGTCTTAGTCTGTTTTATCATGTCATGTCACGATGTGGGAAGATGCCCTTTATTGTTTTTGTTGCATGGTTTGTGTGTGTTTCAAATTATTTTAGTTTGTTATGATTTGTTTTCATTGTATGTATATTTGGGTTTCTGTGGGCAAAGGGCTGTGTTTTTTAATTATGTGAGACCACACCCCCAACCTGAGGAGCGAGAGGGACATTGGCTGCGCACACCTGTTGCTCATTGCGCAGCCCGGGACGGAAAGTGGGTCAATTGGGGAGTGTTAAAAAGGCAAGCTTAGACAGAGAGCGGGGGCAAG